TGCAAGTTCCACTGCTTTGTCAACTCATTCCAAAAATATTTGTCAACTAGGACGTCAAAAGGCTTCTTTCAGCAACTTCAACTAACCTGATCCCTCAGCTGTCCTCTAGGTATCTTCCATCCACTTAATTTTACCTTCAACACAAAATAAAATGGTACGTTAGTCTTAAATGATTAATGAACACAATTCTCAAGGTGTATTAGCATTATCCTCATTATTTTCTAATTGTTTATATAGTTTGGAAATCAGTTTTCAAAGTCAACTCTTTACTGCCACTGACACCTCCCTGAGCTGAATGTTACAAAGAGATAAGACCAGCTCAGACTACTACTTCACTTTGTAATAACATTTAATTTTTCAAAAGAAACTTTTCCTGTTTCCACAGGAGTTCACACCTAGCAATCACTATTCTAAAAAATACATCTTACTGGTATAATTCTTTTTTCTTTATAAAAGTTTAAAAGTACAAGTAAAGGTCATATGCTAATTTGACATTTCAAAATCACACTCAAACCTGAAGATTCATAAAAATAAGTTTGATTATGACACTTGATGTATTCTACTTATAGCAGCAGCTTAAAATTACTTCTTATTGCTTTATGAAGCTTTTTTTGTAATAAGACATAATCTTACAGGGTCTTGAGCAGTGGAGAACATTTAGCCAAAGGACTTTATCATTATCCTATTTAAATAATAAATAATAAGCAGATGTACTAATAAAGTACTTTCTGAAAATTCCTGAGCAACCACAGTTCTCATTACACCAAACTGCAATAATAAAAAGAAACTAAACTCAAAAACAATTCTGCTTTGTCAATGTACTGTTAGTAAAATACACACTTTGCTGATTTTTCCTCGGGATCTGTGTGAATTTTCGCACACCAACATATGAAAGCAGAAAATCTTTAAAAATGACAAAAAAAATACCATTTGTTAGGAGCACTGAAGATGTGCATAATGCCTAGGCTGCTGCTTACCCTATTCACCTCAGCCTCTCATCAACATCTTGCATTCCTCCATTCTCATCTTCCCCCTAATTCTTTCATTTCATACCAAGTTTTTAACCTCTTCAGAGGAGGTTTCCTTTTTTGGAGAATACTTGACACGACAGAGGGCATCTTTCCACCACCAAAGTAATGCAAAGCAATTGGTGTAGATAATGTTATTCTTTTATCAAAGAAAATTGATTGGATTTTAAATTATCCTGTTAACTTAAAAGTTAATGGTAAAGTTAATATTAACTTCACTCTTGACTGATTTTTCAATACACTTCAGATTCCGCCTCAGAGAAATCATAGAACTGACACTGAGAGATCTCATGGCTGGTTGAAGATAACTGGGATTTTTTGAGTAGCTAGAAAACAAGAGGCTTTTTAAATTATGAATTGAGCGTAACAGGTCAATATTAATGTTTAAAAGATGACCCTGAAATTATCAACTGTTAATACCAATATGAGATTTCTGAGTTAGCAACACATTGGGAAGACATATAGAACCTTTTCCTGAGAAAACTCTACAGCTTCAGGTTGGCTGCAGATGCAGGAGAACTACACTTCTATCATATTCACAAGATATTCTTTACCACCAGAGGCTTAAAAAAGTAGCAGGAATAACGTCTGCACAGGACACAATTCTGTAACTATTTAAGACCTGATCAGGTATTATCTAGGCCTTAATCTTCAACTTTTGATCTCCAGTTTGAGAAGCTTAGAAGATGACTGCATGGGCCTTCTAAGTATCTAGTAGAGTAGATGGCCTCTACTCCCAGTTAATGGGATTAGCAGCTAAGCTTCTGAGCGCTGCTGCTCAGAAGTGAAATGGCTAGAAGTCTACAACTTGCAAAGAGACTCCACAGAGAAGATAGGATAAATAGGTCATTCTTAAATGCCTTGAAGAGGGTCACTCCTTTAGAAGGGCTCTGCTGCTTAGCTCAAAGGAGGGGAAAAGGTAGCTTATTTTTCTCTCAATTTGTTCATCCCATTTCTTCATTTACAATTATAAGGTAATGAAGAGACATTCATAGGAATGGCTGTGGAAAAGACGGTATCTTCCTTTCTTGTGCTATTTTAAACAGTACAAAGGAAAAAACCAAGGGAAAAAAAAAACATACACAGCAGTCAAGATTTGTTTCATACTTGAGTCTGACAGACTTCACTTAGTACTGGATAAAACTTCCTTGGGAGGGGAGGGAAATTCTACACGGGAACGCAGAAGCTCTACATAGCAAATGTCTTTTTAAACTAAAAGTAAATGAAGAATCTTCTCTCTCTTTATATTCGGGAGGTACATATGCTTACGTACCAGGTGTTGGGTGGCTATTCTCATATAATAGTTAAAGATACAAGATAAAAATCATGCAGGAAGAAGTGTTTTGCCTGGCAACTATCCTCACTGGGACAATATTTACTTTTTTAAATTAAATACATGTTTAACTAGTGAAAAGAAACATTTTCTTCATTTTGCCAATTATACTGCTCCAATAAGCAAAATCTGCAATTGAGCAATAGTACAGAGATTAGGTCTGCAAATAAGACACTGACAAGTTTTTATCTTAATTTTAATTATAAAATTATAAAAGATTATTTTTTAATATCTAAAGTTTTATTTAAAATTTTAACAGGCTTTTACACTACCAAAAGTGAATTGAAGGTGTACAATGTATTTTGTTCCCTATTATAAACAAGCACAGCTCAGGAGATTGCTATCAGGAAAATCAGATTGTCCACCAGTTCTGTCTCTATTGCTGCTAATGAATAAGAGGTAGAGCTTCATTAAGTCTCCTATTTTATTTTTCAAAACAAATCCAAGGGCAGCAAGAACATACGAAATGCACCATTCTTAAAAAAAAAAAAAAGAAAAGAAAAAAAGCTAAGTTGCAACATACAGCTCACTTGCATGCCTTTTTAATGTTTCAAGAACATAAGGAAACAGAATTTATAAAATATTTAAATTCTGATAAAATTTCAGTTAAATCTAACAGCTTAATATGCAGAATGCGTAAGATGTTGAGAATTTGATCATTTACAATTTATTCAAAGAATTAACACCATACACAGAAAGATGGAATTGCTGACTTGTTTCAAAAGTGTAATTTTATAAAATGTGCTCAGTCAACAATTCATGTGCCAATTAACACAAGCACTGCTCCTATTATGTCTTCTGAGGTAGACAGATACAAACATGTAGGAGGATATGTTGTCTTCATAATTATTTTAGTTCAAAACCCATTGCTTTGCAAACACCAACCTTCTTTTGGGAAACAAACCCAATTTAGAACTATTTACTTCTCCAGTCACTCTTTAAAAATAATGCATTACCATCCAAGTGTAAAATACTGTTGCACTTGCGATGCTCAGATCTGCGACAGTTGTAATGAGAATACTGAAAAATAGCTTTTCTTTTTCCTTGAGGTCTGAAAAAACAAACAAACCAACCAACCAACCAGAGACGGCCTTGCAATCCAACACCAGTATTTAACTATCTCACTAAAATCAGAATAAAGGAACAGCTTGCGTAAATGCAGATACTATAAATGGACATCCTGTTACTTCAAGAATTTTAGCTGAAATGCAACTGGTTTCATTTTTTTAGCTTCTGAATGCACTTCTGAAAGCAAGTTCTAGAGCCTACTGAGAGGGAAGGGGAGTTTCTGAGTTAAGCTGAAAGACCCAAATCAGTTTTCATCCTGCAGAACAGTGAAATAATCAATGTGCTGAAACTTCAGAACCTCATTCCCCCAGCTGGTCCAACCAGGCTGTAGGTTGCGAGCAAACAACTCCAGACATTCCACATCTGGCTTGATAAATTCTGCCAGAACCTCTGTGCAAGAGAAGAAAAAAAGATGAGGATAACAATGAAAAAGGTACAAATAATAATAAAAATAATAATAAACAAACGAAAACAAAAATCAATCTCCCCTGTGCTGTTAGCAGATGAAAAACAGAATGTTTCATTAAAAAAAGGGAGAGATAGCAAATTAATTTCAGGAATTTCATCAACCAGCTTGACTATTTATAGTCAGAAAGCCATTTGAAATAAGTGCCCTTGAGATTCTGAACAATACTGTCAAGGCCTTCAATAGCCTTGATTTATCGGTTTTCATTTAGAGAAAGAGAATGAGGATTTATTTCAGCATCTACATGGACGACTTCTGAATTTTTCACTATTACCAACCAAACATCTCCCGAAGACTAGACTCAGCTCCTACAATACAGGGACAACATTTCTACAAAGTAACAATAGATAAAAAAATGAATAAATACGAAATCTTTCTTCGATTAAAGCATTTATTGATGACAACTGTTAAAAGGTAAAATAAGAAATACCAGTTTAAATAAGCATAGCACTGAAAGAGCTGTTAAAATGCAGGGACTACTTCTTCCTATCGCCAGCTTGGCAACTGAAGAAATATCTATATAACTGCACTCTTTCATTTGCTAACATAAATCTCCATTTTTTCTACAATTGGGCATTTATACTGCTTAAACCTAAATGAATAGAAGCCTATCATTAATATCAGTTTTGTCAATGATTATGACTGGTATTCTAGGAGTAAGCCAAAGATTTTGGTTATTGCATTTCACCTGAGAGTTACTATTGCAAACACAGTTATTGTCAAAAGGCTTACTGGTCATACAGATCCATTTAGTTTGTGGTTGGGTCAAAGAAATTCTTAATTAGGTTTCAGGAAACAGCTACAAAATATTATATATAAAAAAATGCACCAGTAAAACAAAGGTTTAAGGAATATAGCAAGACAAAGCAGTCAGAAAATCTGAAAAACAGATCTATAATCTTAGGGTTTTTTTTTTTTCCTGTGACTGACGACAGGGAAAAAAACCAAGAAATTAGTCTCTTTTCCAGAGGGAATCTTGTTCACTTTTGCTCAGATCTCCCAGAAATTTCTGCATTTCTGTAGCTCAAAATACATAAATCCAGTATTATATTGTTCAACTTGATCTCTTCAGATTTGATCATTTCAGAAAGCAGAAATACACCTAATCAGCATACATCAGAGCGTAAGACAGAATGCTTTTTTCGGGTGCAATCCAAGCTTTGACTTTTTGCATCACGTTTGCCAGTCACAGAATCCCTGCGTGAGATCTTAGCTGCTCATGTCATGGATTGCGCCTGCTGCAGAAAGATGAGCATCCATTTCACATTCTAGTGGGTGGTAACCCACCTCAGATGCATTTCCCACCTACACCGTCACTTCCTCAAAAGCTTCAATCCATTCAAAATATACTCCTAAATATTTTGTAAAGGATGTTTCCTGACTTTCTTAGATTTATGTGCTGTATCAAAATATATTTTCCTCCCTCCAATCTTTAACAAATGTCAAAAGAATGGCACAGATGGGTTATCATCAAGGCAGCTTTTAATCCAGCTTTTAATACTGCAACCAGCAGGAATCTTATTCTAAAAACGTGTTCCTTTTAGAGGCAAGCTAAAATGTTTAAACAAATCTAACATTTGCAGAGGAAAGTCTGGGAGGTTTAGAGCAAAATGCACATTCTGATGGAAGACTTGCTACACTGAACACTGCTGCTTGATATCACAAGGGTTCATCTAACTAGACACCACTTCTCCTGCTTTTGCCCCATTTTGAAAATCCACCATATTCAAAAATAGTATGGTAAAATTTATTGCTTTTTTCTCCACGCACTATTTAGTTAAGGATGTCTTGTGCACAACTTACTTCCAGCATTTTAACAAAGGTCTTCCAAAAATCTATTCTCTTGTCTATCTAAGAAAACCTGTTTTGCAGGAGGAGGTACTTTTTCACAGAGCAGAAGGGAGACGTAGAACGCAAAACTCCAAAGCTTTCAATAAGCCCTCTGCGAGCAGACCCTGACATCCGTAAGACATTCTTTTGACCAGAATGGAGTGAAAGACCATGCAGAGCCTGCTGCAGGGACCAGATCTTATGTGACTTTCTTCCTTCTATATAAAAATAAAATAGAACCATCTTATGGGTTATATACGCGTCCAACCAAAAGAGGAAGCAATCATTTAAGTGAGAAAATTTCATTAAAAGCACATTAGACGTGTCAACATTTGTTCTTAAAACGTTTAGATTAAAAATATCATCACAACATTCAGTCTGGTAATCAAAAGTACTTACTACTAAGCACCAAAAACTTCCATGTCTGAGAGAAAGATTAAAAACAAACAAACAACAAAACACCACTTAGTTGACTCAACAATAGGGTTAAGTCTTCCTCAACAAAGAGAATCTGGCCAAAGATTGCTTGGCCAGAAAACAAAAAGAGATAGCCAAGAAACAGGCCATTTCAGCAAGAAACAAGAAGATTGTGCCAATCTTTCAATCAATTTGGTCACAGAATATAAAAAGGAAGTCCCAGGAATCTCCCCCTCGCCTACTAACAGAGAGATAGTATTTCACCGCACAGCTTTTTGAAGAAACAAAGCCAGGGTACATATAATTCAAAATAACATTATAGTATGATTTTTCATTGCTTGGATATAGGTATTTACCTATAAACATAATCACATCAGGCAGTAACTTTCACTGCAATGGAAATTAGCGTATCAAGAGGGCAATAACGTGACAATATTGTGTTGGTATAAAATCTCATTACCCTGGTTTCCTTGAACATCAATTTTTCCTATTTTAACTTATAAATTATAGCCTCTTTGCTAGGGTTTTTTATGGCTTTTATATGTTCAGAAGGCTATCTTAAAGCACACATGGATCTGACTTGCAGCCCTTAAGCAAACTCTGCAGTTTTTCCCCTGCCAACAGGTCAGAGGACCTGCATCAGTAGAAAGATTAAACATTCATTTTTTTACAATAGAAATAGCTTAATATTTTTTACAATTACTTCCATCCATTTACAGATAGCACTAACAATAAGTAGCTTAAACAGATTATTCATGATCACTTTCAGGTGTTATAAAACCTAAGAGAGCAACTTAGATACCTGTACTTAGGCATCTAATGCCCTAGGATACACAAAGCCAGCACACAGCTGGTAGATACAACACAGGTCTTCTGGGAAACCCACTTTCTTCCGGAACGCAAACAGGAGGTCGGGCAGGATCCCAAACATGTATCTAATATGCATACCGTTAAAAATGCTTTAAAAAGCAAAGGAAGGAACTATTTTTGAGATAAGCAACCGTTTCTCCTTATCTTTTGAACTTCTGTTACCTACACAGCAAGTTCTGAACAGCAAAGTGGATACATAAAGTGAAAATTACTTTGTTGGCTTTTTATTGTCTGATTTGTGAGCCACGCAAGGTACAGTCCACATGTGACTGAACGCATTTCGTGGTAACCTTTCAAAGAGTTTGCACTGTAGAGGCCCTTATTACCCAGTTTTGTCTAAACCCTGATCAGAAGGAGAAGTGAAGCTCAGGCAAAAGAGCTGGTTTTACACCGTTGCATCTTGCCTGAGCCTTAAGTCAAACCTACACGTCAGTATTCCCACGGATTATTCTAACAGCAAGGGATTACAAGGTACTGAAGGAAACAAAATACATTTCCTTTTTACTTCCAGGAAACTTTTATAACATGGCCTAATAAAACATAGAGTTCCCACAGGGGGCTTACTGTTATTTCCCACTGCACTCTTTTGCTGGAGATATGTAAAGTGACTAGAACATAGCCAAGAATTAAGCCCAAGGTTTTCAGACATACTTCTATAAGGAAATATTATTTCTAGCAATAAATGCATATGTTTAAATACTGGAAGAGAGACGGCTATAGCAAGAAGAATCTATGAAACAGAAAAAGAAAAAAAAAAGGCATTTGAAGTTCAACATTGTTTCACATCTACGTTACAGAATACCTTGTAGGTTTTCTAAGAGCAACACTGAATTGAGTTAGGAAAAAAACCTGCTGTTATTTGAATCAGAACCATGAGTGATAAAATTTCATTTTAATGCATTTGCATAAAGCAGTTTAAGTACATTTACAATGACACATTAAAGCTCTAGGCATTAAACACAGCACATGCATCAAAAACCCCTACGGTCGCGATTTCACAGTTAAATGCACTGCAGGAACCCAAGCATCCCTTTTTGATGGCTTACTTTAATTTGCATCTTCCTCTTCCCCCAGAGAGATAAACTGTTATAATCAGTCATTAAGTGGCTACATATGTACCAACATACAGCCTTTATAATAGCAACAAGAAATAAAGTGCCAGACAGCTTCAGAAAATACTAATATTCTTGGCTTTGTTATTACTTAAACAAAGCATAAAGAATGTGTGTGACTCATCAAGCGTCCTTCTCCCCCACTGCCAAACCTCTGATTCTGTTCAAATTTCTTCTGAACCACACTAGGATGTAGCTCAGGTGCTCTCTAGTGGCCATTTGAGAATATGGATCATGAAAGTAATATGCTTCACAATACTCAAGCCAAAGTATCAGCAATTAGCTTTTGTTTTACGGTCTACCTTTTCATTCCATGACCTTGTTCTGAATAAAGTTGCCAAAAATGAAGATATACATGTATTTTTTTTTTAAATGTGCATGCTCAATAGCAAATTTATTCTTCATTGGAAACATAAATACTGCACAATGATACCAAATCCTGGCATTCACGTGAAGACTCAAGAAATACATAAATAAAAAGAAGCACAGAATTTCTTTCAAAACCTGTTCAGGATTACAATTTATAAAGGATTCATCAGTATAGCTTCCAGATTCTGCACCACAGAAAGGAAGCACTCCAAGGACCACTCTGGCACTATCTCTATAATGCATACAAACTGCTGTGCCGCACCCTTGGATATCTCACACATTTCCTGTTTGTGTCCAAGTATACTTCTAAGTATTGGTTTTCTGAAGAGGCCCTAGGTGGCTGCCTCACAAACCACTACCCTACCATTAGCTTAAATCAACACACATACTTCCTGCACTCAACCTAATTCTTACAGACGTAGCTACAGAACTGCAGACAGATCCTCCCGGATTTGTTCATTTATTTGTTTCAGTTAACTGAAATACGTGTCTGTTACGAGTCTTGGAACAGGTATATAGGTGTAAATTAATTTAATACAAATGCAAGCCCAAAATACAAATTTCAAAGCCTCCTTGGAAATAGTAAAACAACTGTTAGGATTAGCATCCTAAATGAAGTCATTCTGAAGTCAGTGCAACAAAAAGGGAACGTTCCCAGGGCCAGCCACTGGCTACGATTCCCTTCCTCTCCAACCACACCGTGCATTTCTTCTACCTGCTTTCTCTGACATAATTACCTAGCACCAGGTGCATGTGGAATATCTGTAGATCTGCTGAGACTCTTCCTCTTGGGGGAAAATTCTCCCCTTGGGGGAGGATGAAAACCACTTTTGTGACAAGTATTAAACATGTTGCATACCATATCATTTGTAAGGCACTCGGGTACTACAGTGATGAAAGAAGCATGACTACCTATTGAGAAAAGTAGCTAAAGTAAACTTTCTCCAGAACAATGTGTATATAGGAATGCATGATACAAAAAACTTCAAATCCTTTGAACTAAATTCTGGGAAAAGTTGAAATTACTCATATTCATTCTAACCAGTTGGCTGAAGTCACTGCATCGATTTCAGTAAAATAAATATGGTTTCTGAGAAATAAACGAGGTATGTCTCATTTCCTGCCAATCGTTAACAGTTTTAAAATAATTAAGTATTCACTTTTTGGATTTAAAGGCACATCTGTACTGCGAGTGTATAAGCAACTCATGCAGAAATAAAGAAACTTGGTGTTTTTGTGAATAACATAGGAGATGTTTTTATATATTTGTATAAATTTATATATTCCAGAAGACATTTTTCCCCATAAAAGAACTTCAGGTCTCATTTGGGATAACTTTATACCTACAGTATGCATAATCTATTCCTACAGAAATTCAAAAACGAAATAAAAAAAAGAAACTTCTTGTTTACATTTCTATCCAAAACATTCACACAGGAATTCATACAGTGAAGTTCTACTCTTCATGCTTATTTTCAGATGACGATGAAGATTTAGGTGCCTGACAACATTTTTAGAAATGCTGAGGATCAACAAGTCCTACTGAGTGAAATTGCTTGGCATGTGGAAAATTAAGAAACTTTTCATGCACAAAGATACCTGATTCTAGGTACTTCATTTCAGATATCCAAGTTTAATGTCCTACAGAAACACTATATATTAACATTAAAAAAAACATACCAGTAAGAGGGGGTTTATGCGAATGCAGACTGCAGGGTACGCTGACAATTAACTTATGGTCTGGAATTGGAAGTACATCATCAGATTTCCTGTTGTATAAACCAGAACAAAATAAGTGTGAGAATGAATACCACAAAATGTGATGCAGTCTGAGGCTTTCACGGAGCTATTTCAGATAAGAGATAACATACAGGATGCTCATTCACAGGCAAATTTCAGATATGTCTGAGGGAAGTTAAATGTTGCTCAGCTGCAATATAGAAAGTGTTTGTTTGACTGAAAGTATAGTTTATGAAATCAATGAGGCTTTAAAGAAAACACAGTTAACAACCACATGAAGAGCTGAAGAACAATCAACATACGCCTGTCAGATTTTACCTGCAGAAAAACATCAACAACTCCAAAATGGCTTCAACTTGTGTCAAGCACTCATGGTCCAACAGAACCTGCCAACAAAGGAAGCTCCGTCCACATGCCCTTAATTTGAGTGAGTTCCCCAACACAGGCAGATTTAAGGACAAACAGCAAGAGCTATTCCCACCTTTTAATCTCACTAGATAATTCACTCATCCCAAAGCTAGTAATGCTATTTTTAGGTTCAAAATCAATCAGAAGATGACACTGAGATCCTGGGACATTATATTGTATTATACACCAGTGACACACACAAAGACATCCTAATAGCCTCAAAAAAATACATTTACCATAATAGTCTGTCATACCTTAAGGCTTCCTCTACGCTTCCTTGAACTCTCCCCAATACCAGAACTTCATAGGGCTTTTTGTGGGAAGAATCCAAAGGCAATACAAATTCTCCAGATCTGGTAATCTAGGAGTTAAAGGAGTTAAAAATACACAGTGGAAGATTGTCACATCCTATTTTTCCAATGAGATATTTTCTTTCATAGAAAGGAAGAAACTGAAGATACCATACCTTTCAAATACAAAAAACACATGGTAATAAATACACAAATGATAAGAGCATGAAGAAAAGTGTCATAGCGCAAGCCCTCTCAGTCCCCTAGAAAGCAACAAAACAAACCGCGAACTTACTTTTACCCAGTGCCACTCAGCAAGTGTTTTCACAGACCAATGAGGATAAAGTTCATCCTTAACAAAACGTAAGTGCTTCTGTCTATTAGTCACCCACGTGACTACAAGACAATTTGGAGCAGCTAGAGCTGATACAGGAATCTGCTTGATTTGCCAGGAAGACAAGTGCCCATACCTGTGTGCCAATACAGTGAGAATGCAAGTCAGCACATACCAAATAATATACAAATTACAAAACAATAAAAAGGCATAAAGAAATTACACGGCTGAGACTTCGAGAGATACCGCCTGACAGCAGGAAGACACTGCAACTACCTAGTGGCCAAATCGGCTGGATTCCGATATAAAAATCACAAACGCACATACTTACTGTTACCGAGCAGAATCTTTAACTACATGTTTCTCTTCTGTTTCCCCAAATAAAATGTTATGAGAACTCTGACTTGCAAGAAGCCTAAAAGCCCGTGAAGCCCATGTTTAACTTCAGAGCTATCACTTGTAATTCAAATCATCTTTATGCCAGAACAAAGCTATTTAATGATAAGTGGCTCTTTTTACTTTGGTCTATGTAACATTATTCACGTTTCATAATACACATTCTGAATGAAAGCGACAAGTGAGCCACTTGCAAGTGCAGTACTGATTTGACTGGCAAGCTAAAAGGTCATAAAGAGTAATCATTTCTCAAACCGTATGCCAAAGTCATTTATGATTTGAAGCTACCGCTCACTGTGAAAGTTCTCTGGGTTATTCAGAACAGTTCCTCACACTTTTGAGTTTACTCTATTCTACGGTGGTGAATACAGCACGCTTTCCAAATTTTGTCCTGCTCTACCATTTCTCTTGTGCTGCTGTTCTACATTATTAGTGAGCAAGGAACGTGTGGAACCTACACAGCTCAGCATCGAAGACACTGATGCGTGGCCTGCTGCAATCCACACCCATCACCTGCGTACTCAGCATCCCTACCCAGCACGATAGCAAGAACAGTGACAACCAGATAATAAGGAGTGTAGATAAAATCTAGAAATACTTCCTGGACTAGATCCCACAGAGAAAACAAGTGTCCCACATCTGGGTGATGAATTCTAACCAAAAAAAAAAAAAAAGCCTTGAACAAGGTAACTGATTGTCTAGCACTACACAGACTTGCTGCTAGATGTGCAGTAACAGATATTTGGGCATCTATGGAACTACACCTGCAAAACCCCAGGTTTGAGGGACATTCCCCTTGTTTTTGAAGACTAAAAAATGGACAATTTTTAATGTCCATTTACAATGGACATTACAATGTACAATTACAATTGTACATTTACAATGTACAATTAAAAACCAAACATTTATTTTCCTACCATGCACAACCTTAATTCTGATATAGGTGAAATTAAGACTTCTTACTGACAGACAGACTTCTCTTGGAGCTTGTAGTGTTTTTAGTATCTGAGAAAAGGTGAGCCAACAGTCACCACAGATGATCTCCATAACTGAATGAGCAACTCTCTGCAGTTCTATGCTGAAAGCACAAACAGATTTTTGTTTTAGCAAACGAATCTGTCATGTGGTTTGGACATGGTGATGTCTGAGTAGCAAGACATAACAGTGGTAGTGATAGCTCGGCTATCTTCTGGCTTTGTTTTGTAAAGGAAGGGGGGCCTGGTTGTCTAATTTACGCCTCTGAATTACTAAAATTTTCCTTTGAGTTATTTGTATAGGTAAGAAATATACTTCAATTAGTTTAGCTCTGAGTTCCTGTAAGGTTTTGTAGGGCTTTCAAAGTAAGACTTGCTAATCAATCTCTGTTTCTTCAAATTTTATTTCCATAATAAGTTTCAATTGCTATAGAAAAAGTAGACATCGATACTTATTCCAGAAAGTTACAGGTCACATTTTCCGTTTGCCCTCCTTTGACATGGATGCAATTCTGCGGTAGTCAAGGGAGCCCCACTGGCATAAATTCGATGTTACTCAATGGAGAAGGCCTAGAAAATTCTAAGTTAATGAATTCATAAACTACAGTACTTGGGACCACTTCCTATTACACTTGAGGATTTTGCTGCTGCATTATCACTGTTCCTCTTCCGCCCACTAGACTGAAACTCAAATGAAAAAAAATTTAAAAACCTCCAAAATCTGACCTCAGTCCTGGAAATACTTAGACACGTAGCTAGCTTTATGGCCACTGAAGTAACTTTACTAATTTCCAATGAGTATCTGCAGGATCAGGGCCTTACAAAACAACTGACTCCAGGCTTTTCTTACAAGTATCTCTAACACTCTCTCACCAGTCAGGTGATTTAAGATCCAATCTTGCAAATACTATGTATGCAAAGGATCCAACCCATTTCTTTGAAATCCCTGTGACATTCTATAGCCTTGAAGGTAGGCACGTGCCAAAATATTTGCTAGTTTAAGCTACAGTCTTGTACGTATATTGGTCTTGGTTTGCATCACTATATATTCAAAAGTTACTTATACCCACGTAAGCAAAGAACATGGAGTTTGTCTGCTTTCTGTTTTAAAAGGCATAATAATACAAATTTACAATAAAATTTACCGGTTACTCCTTTTAACAGATTTGTTTTCCCATGGTGGATCCATCACAATTACATCATATTTTTTCTTGTCTGGAAAGGGAAATTACAAAAAAAATGCCAGTAAATTAGTTGTAAAATAAAACAAACATTAAATTTACTATTTAAAATCAATAAAGGTTTAGCTACCCAACTACAGAGAACACTTAACTAGTGGAGTATGCATGTATACTTACAGTTCAGCAGTGGCTGTAAACATGAAACATCAGATAAAAGGAAACTGCTTTTTGGTGGCACCAAGTACTTCTGCCCCATTAACTCAACCATCTTTGCATAGTTTGAGTTGTTTTCTGTAACACATGAAAGCAGGTCCTGCTCTGGAATGGAGGCTTCATCATCTATTGCATGTACAGCTTGATGGTCACTGTCATTTATAGCTGGAAACTGCTTTGCCATTTCACATAATTCGGCCAACCCACAGCCAACATGTCCTGGAACAACACTCTTGCTGCAACTGAGTTTTGTAGTAGTGCAGTGCAGAAAACCACTTTTCAGTCCTTCTTGGACTAAATGCAAAGTGCCTTCCCAAATGAGCTCCCTGATCTGTATGATCATAAAGACACAAAGAAAAAGGAAATGATTCTATCATTTTCCTATCATACCCTAAATAAGCCTATATGCAACAATAATTACAGGACCCCTACACTGTAATGCAGCAAACTACATTTACTATGAGATTGCTGTTAGGCAACAGAAAGGAAAAACGAGTTATTTATATAACAGTCCAAGAGAAACAGAATTAAACAAAAAGCCAAATATGACTACCGCCTTTATCAGACAAAAGAAATGAAGTGCAAGTCCCTAGTTCAGGTTCACATCACTATTCAGGAAAGCAGTAGGTATGCATCCAACACTATCCACGGATTACATTTCCAGGATTTATCATTATGCTTCACTACTAGTAATTTTACCAGCACATCACATACAGGAGCCTAAATACAGACCTAAATTCTAATTAATTTGTGATGCTTTGGTGTGACTATCACAATGTAAAATATTAAGCGGAAAAATTATCTCTCACTAGTGAAAGAGACGCATCTTGGAGCACTTTTGCTCACAGAGGTATGGAATAGCCCCAGCACAGTATCCTGATATGCTAAAGATGAGTGCATCTTCAGAACAGCTCACACTGTTTATTTCAAAGCAGTCACTAATATTAAATTCATCGCTACATAATGTTCAGTTTGGCATAATACTTACAGATACCCTGTGAACATGCTTTCCAGCTCTTTGAAATTTCTCAACTTCAGTCTGACATCTAGTTTGTTTTGTACATTAACTACACATAAATGTTTCAGTACGTACTTACTCATTTTGGGACTGGAGAGAGGACCTTTCCATTAGCGGAACAAGCTACAGGAAGAGGACTCATCCGCAATCATGCCTTGCGTTCCATATACTGCCCTAAGACAGGTAACCGCAAAATATACTTTTGTTCAGACTCACCTTCGTATGGTATTCTAATGCATCCAGTTCGCCTTGGTTGAACACACATTTTCTTTTGCGTTTCTGCAGAATGAGCAAACAGTGAAAAGAAATAATCCACGCTATTCAAAAAAATAAATACAAAATTACAAAAAAAAAAAATCAAACATACTTGAATAACCTATCAACTCTTAAAACTGGAAGAAAATTTCCATCTCTTTCTCTATCACAAATATAAACCCATTAAGAAAAAACTTAATTTTAAAATATCTAGGCTGCTGTAGGAATTCTCAAGGCACAAGAGCTTAACAAAGCTATGTTATATTGCCCACAGGCATTAGAATCTAATGGTATCTAGTGCATGCCACAGTTCATGTTCATGCCCCCTTGAGTCCACGCTTGGGGGTACCTGTTTAGTTGCCAGGTGCAGTTTTGCAGTAACAAGAAAACATTAACTAGGTCTTCATAACTACATTTGTTGATTTAGACCTGTGACCCTTAAATTCGGTTGGTCCACAAGGAACAATACCGAACAATCAACATACTGCAAGTAAACTCACACCACCTTTCACTCCTTGTTAATCTGGACTATCATGACAGGCACCACAGTTGTTTTAAGTTCCCTTGACCACAAGCAATATCAGAAGAGTTTGCAAGCAACCTACTTACGGCCTGTGAGCCACTGACATAAGGGAGACAAGAACAGCCTTATGAGCGCTTGCACTTTACATGCATCCTTAAATCTATTGTGGAAAAGTTCCTGCTTCTCCTGCAAAGTTTTACCTTCTCCAACATAGCTTCGGGAAATAGAAATTTGTGAGATGATGTTAATGGTAGGTTATTTAACAGTGAATACCATGATAGCCCACAGTGTTACAGAGAACGTACCTTCCTCACACTGGCCACGAGATCTCCAGCACCACCCTTGGTTCCTTCTTGGTGTTGCACCCCACTGCTGCTGGCCTCTGCTTCCGTGAGGCTCACCTGCGAGCCTCCCTGCCACAGCTGCTCCTGAGGAACTGTGATTATATGGGGCTTTAAAATATCAAAGAACTCTTCCCGAAACACATATCTTGTTTTTCCTGTTTTACCTTCTGTTTCTACAGCATCTCCAGGAGCAGGAGTAGGATCATCTGTCGATAAGTAGGCAGTAGCACAGGTAGAAGTAGTGCAACGATCTCCAGAAGGGACAGAAGCGTTGAGAGTAACACGACGACATTGCGCAAAGGAGTCGTGTATCTCATAGCCACACTGGTTGATGAAAGAGAGATGATCCAGGAGCCACCCTGCTGCCAGCCGATGTATCACGGACATCCTAAGCATCCCTTTTCAGAGGGGAAAAAAATCATCTACCAGAAACTTGGAATTGGATTCATGTGTGCTTTCTGGAGCAAATTTTTTCTGCGGTAATTTTTGTTTGAGAGTTCACTTTTCAGAATTATTACTGTTTAATAATATAACACCTATCTTGTGAAAAGCATTTCAACACATACGCAGGACACACGAACAGTCCTGTAGGTGCTTCTGACTTCAGCTAGTGCTCCCCAGTATGCTCTGTTTGAGCGTCACGGCATCTTCTGAAAGTTGGTTGATCTGGTCTTTTATGAAGTAAATTGCGATGTAGGAGCCTTAACGGCTTTTCGGTACCATCAACTTCCCTTAAGCAGTTCAATTACAAGAGAAATGCAGTTCAATGACTATAAGGGAAATGTTTGGTTTTATTCTTTTTTTTTCCTTTTTTTTCCTTTTGGTCTCTTATAAAACACTTATTCTAAGAGCTCATCTGCGGTCCCATCAAAGACACGCAGCTTTTTGTTATTATTATTATTATTAAACCCCAACTCAGAACAGCAGGGATAGCGACCGATTCTTAGTGTTGCCAGCAGGTCGAGGGAGGTGATCCTGCCCCTCTACTCAGCCCCAGGGAGGCCTCACCTGGAGTTCTGGGCTCCCCAGTACAAGAGAGACATGGAGCTGCTGGAGAGAGTCCAGCGGAGGGCTACCAAGATGATTAGAGGGCTGGAGCACCTCGCCTATGAAGAAAGGCTGAGAGAGCTGGGCCTGTTCAGCCTGGAGAAGAGAAGATTGAGAGG